GCCTAATACAATAGCATTCTGCTGGTTTCTCCCTACAAACATCCATAAGACAACTGTATTAAAAATACTAGTTTTTTGGGGGGGGGGGATAAACATATTACTTTATGCCATTTTCAATCTATTAATTTTATATAAAAATTTATTAACTTTATCACCTTTAAAACAATGACAAAAAATATACATGTTTCTGCTATAGGTCTACATCAATGTAAGTTATTTGAATATTTTTTCATTGTTGGGAATAAAATTATTTTCCAAAACATGCAAATATCAATACAATATTTGACAAACAATATTGATGTTCATAAAGAAAAAGAAAATCAGGAAATGTCAAAGCTCAATAGATGGAGTGCTCATTTTAAATATTTTCCAAATATATGTTAAAACATTGTTAGAAATCTATCTTTGAGAAACTGTTACTCGAAATAAGAGCAATCCAGGATGATATAAGGAAGAGTGGGTTCCAACTAGACCTTCACTGGCACTACTGGTAAATTTAAATCACTTTCATTGTTTTTACTTCTAACTACACACTACTTGTAACTTTAGTAATTAAATCAATTAAAATGTCTATAAAATCATTTATAAAGAGCTCAGTTGGGTTATAATCCAATGATTTCAGAGCTGATCTATACATCTAATATGCGATCGATATGAAAATAAAAACATTTAAAGACAAACATATCAAATTTTATAATTAATATTAAATAGCTATAATTACATTTATAAAAAAGTTACACCTAAATTAATATTTAATGTCATTAAACAGCATGCCCATTTAGTTTCAAGTCATCACTTATACAACCATTTCACTTGCATTTTGCACTGATTTTGAACATTTTTTCTTATGAGCAGTATAGCTTCCAAACAATGAAAAATCAATTCTGTAATAAGTATATAAAAATTGGTAATGCATACTCGAGGAATTTAGACATTCTGGAAATAAAATTAGCAAAAAAAAAGTGACCTTTACTCTCCAGAAAACAGTAAAAACTTTTTATTTCAGCCAAAATATTGTCATTGTAGCTTCATCAGGGCCAGTAGTACAAGAAGTGTTTTTACCCCTTGAACCCTTCCACTAGATTTATGCCTATTTATGCAACATTGAAGAATAATTACTAATTTCTGGAACAAAAATAGATGAGGATGTAGACCCCTTGGGCCCCTCCCCCATATCTGCACCTGCTTATACAACATTAAAAGACTACACTTACAATGTATAAAAAAAAAACAGTGTATGTGCAGTATTTAATACTACAGTACTACTACTAGTAGCCAGAGTTGGCAGTACGTGCTACCAGCCAGTTGCCTTCCCTACAATCAGTGGTTCAAAATTAATAAATTGGAAGATAGCCTTAGTAGCTTTGCAACAACAAAGACAGAAGGATTAAACTAAGTGGCAATAGGAATCAATCCCAAGACTCAAAACAAGTACAAAACACTCACCCCCACCCCCCAAGCCATTATATTGCTTTGTGCTTAAAAACAAACATAATGGCAAAATTACAATTACTTGGACATTTGAAATCATCAAAAAACCCTCATTTCAATTAGTTGATTATTTTCATGACAATCAATTTAACTAATTTTGATCAATCAACTGTTGAAACTTCAGTTAGTTGATTATTTTTGTGACAACCTCAATTTTGACCAATCAATACTCACAAGTAACTCATATTTATTAAAACACCCAGCTCTACTTGTGTTAATGAACAATGAATTTGGTCATAAAATGATAAACATTCCTTCCAAAAGTTATTTCAATATGACTTTTATGTTAGAAACAAGTTTCAATTAGTTTAATACTTAATTTAAGGTCAAGTTTTTTAGACCTCATTTTATCATGAAAGCACAGCCAACTCAACAGCCCAAGTATATATTTGTGTTAGGGAGATGTTTTGTTGAATATTTGTATTTCTTGATATATAAAAAAAACTATCATTTCAATGAGCCATCACACAAACCTGAATAGGGAATAGGTAATGCTGATATACTTATCAATATCAGCCATAGTTGTAGAGCTATACACACACACACCTTTTCACATTTACCAAAGGGAAATTTACCAGTTTTGTTCATGAAACCATGTTATTACATTTCTATTCATTTTAAAACTAACCAAAATATAAAATTAATTTAACATTATTATCAGTCTAGCATGATACTTACGATAATTCTTGCTAAAGATGTCTCGTGCATTTTTTCCAAGGTCTGCGTAACATGGTGGAGCCATGGCTATAAATCAGGGCTAAGGGTAAAAGTGGGGGACAAAATATCGAATAATTAAAATTTTCAGAAAAACAAAAAAGATGCTGCCTATAATTAAATTTGCACACAATCGTATATTCTGAAACCTAAAAAAAACTATTGAAAATTAAACCAGCATAGATAAACCCTTTAATTCTAAGTTAAATTTTAACATTATCTATTGTAATTTATTAACAATAACATTAAAAGTAACACTAACAGTTACAACTTACACCAAAAATGTTATTACTATTAGAAATATGCTACTACTGTTACTTTATTATAGTTTATAAAGTTTATTACGATACGTTTAAATACACCGAGATAAATATGATACGAATACAATCAACAACTGAAACTTTAAAACTTAAGTTACCAGAAGATGGAGTACTGAGTTGTAGTACTACTAGTTAGTTACCTCCACTACAGCTACATATTTTTAGTTTTACTTATTAGTAATTGCATAAATTAGGCCTAAACTCTTAATACGAAATCAATCTATTTTATCAGAAATTTTTCATTTAAAAAAGTATATATATATATTAAGTAGTCCTATTAAACTATACTAAGTAATATAGTTACAATATTTACAAAATAGATCATCTTACACTATATAATTACTGAAACTGAACTACAGAATTAGGAAAACGAACACACGAGAACTTCCTCACGCCGTATACGAACTCTTGGCACCGGTTACGGGGTCTAATAGCGTGAAAACACGGTTCTACGAAGGAGAAATAAAGGGCACCAGTGGATGTTTAATATGGGCAAAATGCGTGTCTACTAAAATAAATGAAAAAAATTTACGTATTCGTGTTTTATTTGCTTGTATTGCGAATTAAATATTTTAATAAATATAGAGCTTTAAGTTGCATCTACTTCCAATTAAGTAAAATTGAAAATGAAAATATTCTTTTACATAGCTGACTAGTGCTACGTCAGCATTTTTACATTCCTTTTTACACATTGTTTTTTCTATTGTTATTGCATATTTGAATACTATGTTATAACAGGTATTTTGAACTTTTTTATATGTTGTGTTTTTTGTGTTAAAATCGACATGTTACTTCTTTTTATTACAATAAGTGGAAATGCATTGATCATTCCTTGTAGTACTAGGTTAAAAGGTAAACTTTTTAAAATTCTGTTGTTTTTTATAGTTTCCCGGTTGAACACAGAAAGGCGATCAAGTGAGTTACTAGTTTCTCTTACTTTAAGTGGCCTAGCAAGCTAAGTGAAGAAGCCTGCATACACGATTTTCTTTCGGGAATAACAATGTTGTTTTTAATTAGGGAAATATGGCCTGGTGGTTAAGGCGCTCGACCCACAATGTGTGGGTCGCTAATTCGAATCCCATTACTCAACATGCTCGCCCTTTCAGCTGTGGGGGCGTTATTATGTAATGGGCAATCTCAGTTTTCGTTGGCAAAATAGTAATTTAAAAGTTGGCTATGGATGGTGTTGACTGCCTAGCTTCCCTCCAGTCTATCACTACTAAATTGGGGACAGCTAATTCAGATGGCCATCGAATAGCTTTGTACGAAATTCCAAATATAAACAAACAAACAAAAAATTTGTCAGTTGTGTTATTATTGTCGGCAAATCAGATAATAGTTGCGAATGGAATCGTCCTAGATCTTCACTACCCATTGGCCAGCTGATCTAGCAAGAACCAATTATTGTTTTATGGTGTTAGAGACGTGAGAGCTTATTGACACATTGAAACAGTGAGGGGTTTTGATAGCAGATTTGTGACATAATTTAAAAGATTATAACACTGTGTTTACACAATTTTCAATTCCCCTATTTTCACAGTCGTGTATTCATAAGTATCTGGCAAAATGTTTCAGTTTCTGTTGTATTTTCTTTGTGCTTTTACATTAGGTTAAGAACCTGCGTGACTTGTGAGCATACCTATTGTTTAAAGTTGTTATTGTTTTGTGCTCACCTTAAGCAAGCAATATTTAAAGTATTGTTGTAGAAATTTATTCATAATAAGTGTGAATGGATTTAGAATTTTGTAAAATTTGTTGATTTTAAGTGTGAGTGGATTTAGACTGCAGCAATTGCTCCGTTATTAAAGGTTTAAAGTTGTTTTGAAGCTTCATTGTGAAATACAAGTAAATTCTTGGACTTCATCTAGAATATTTGCTTAGTTTAATGATGCGATATTTGATTTAATTTGCGGTAAGTTTTCCATTAGCATTTTCTTTTACTTCATCTCACTCAACTTAACTTACAAAGAGGAGCTACATGCACTCTCAAGAACTCCTATTTTCTTATAAATACTTCATAAGTTATTGTCATTCCTATACTCGCTCAAATATAATTACATGCACAATATCATTGTGTAATTATGCATTGTTAGCAATTTATTTATAGCAATTCATAAGGTAATATACATTAATATAATTTAATAACTTTCTGTTCTTTTGATTATCTGAAATACATCATTCTCAAGATATTGTTAAAATGCAGTACAGTGTTCCAAACAATAATTTACTATTTTTATACTATTTGTTCATAATTACTTCAGATATAAGCTTTTGTCCTACAGCAGGTCAGCAGTAAGTTTATGGACTTACAATGCTACCATCCAGGACTTGATTCACCATGGTGCACAAAGCACAAATCGCCTATTGTATTGCTTTGAACTTTAAAACAAACATATTCTGAATTAATTCTTTGTTCTCCATATGCACAGGTTTCACACAGCATGGTCGAGAGAACCATTAAGTTGATCTTGTTTCAAATTACCTTAGTTCCATTGTTATGCTCAGAAGTAGATAATATCTGCTACCACCCGGAAAGTGAATTGGTTAACATGATACATTGTGTAAGAATGTTGATAGCAGTGTCCTCCAATGATTGTTCACAGTGTCGAAATCAGGGGATGTACAGGAGGAGTTTCCCCCGTGCAAAAAAATCCCCCTGAAATATTGTAACTTTTTTTTTAATGAACAAGCAGAGAGACTACAGCAGTGGCAAGAAAACTAGCACCAGTGGCAACTGGGACAAGAAAGGAAACAAGAAGTACAAATGGAAAATATCAGTAAATTTCAAAGTGAATTCAATACATTAAAGGACGATTCACTGTCTTTTACACAGGGAGGATATAGTGATAAAGAACTATTGGGTACAATGGAACCAGTTGAAGCTTGAAGATGGTAGTCTTCTCCGGAGATGGGAAACTGCAGATGGGAAAGTGACGACCTGGCAAACAGTTATACCGAGAAAGTTACAGGAAGTTGTGCTGCGTCAGTCCCATGATAGTTTAACAGGAGGACATCTTTCAATGTCTTCTTAACTCCTCTTCGTCAGGTGGACATCCTGTTATCAGGTCCACTGGTAACCGAAGTTCCCGACCAAACATCAACTTTGCTGAAGTGTATCTAGTGGCTTCATGCTCTGCTGTTCTATAGGTCATCAACAGTGGAGGGAGTATGACATCCCAGTCATCTTGACGGCTATCACAAAACTTTGCCAATTCCTGTCCCAGTGTTCAATTGTACTTTTCTACCATCCCATCAGACTGTGGGTGAAGTGGCGTTGTCCTGGTCTTTCGTATGCCAAACAACTTGCAGCATTCATGGAACACAGCTGATTCAAAGTTACGGCCTTGATCTGAATGCAGTTCGTATGACATACCAAACCTGAAGAATAAGTCACTAATAGCTGAAGCTATAATTATAGCTTCCTGATTTGGTATTGCATATGCCTTAGACCACTTGATGAAATAATCCATCACCACACAAATGTACCTGTTTCCAACATTTGATATAACTTCATTGGAGCAAGTCTCTTATGCTTGGGTCCCCTTTTAGCACAATTGGTACTGCAGGTCCTGCACCATTCTTCCACATCTTGCCTCATACCTATCCAGTAAAATCTCTGTCGTAGGTGACGCCGACCACATTTTATTCGGAAAGTCACATCTGAGAGACGATCCACTATGTCATATGGGCCTTCCCATGGAGAAGACTTCCCTTTGGTCTTCTTTGGATTATACAACCACACATTGTCTCCTGGTACAAAGCTGACTTCAGTAGATTTCTTATCATAAGATAGCTTTATAGAATCAGCAGACGTCTTTAACTTTGAACGCACTTGATGATGAATATCATCCATCCTTTCAGATAACACTTTCACGAACTCTGGCACATTTTCAGGCAACAGGTAAGCCAAAGGTGGTGCATGCCAACAGGCTTTGGCATCTCCGTTTGTTAAATTGTTTTTCCGTAACTTCGTTCCGATGAAACTTTAGCGACACAAGTCCTTACTTAATAAAACTGGTTTATTCTTTCCGAATACAACTTTACGATACACTTATTTTCAACAATCGCGCTAAAACAAACGCTATATCAACGAACGTCAATAATACTTCTGACTGCAGTTCAATTACTCACTATCTACACACACATTACAATACTCCGTCACGTTGTCACCCTCTTTTATATACCCGACTACCCTATATCTAGTAAATGCTAGAGCATTCGCCAAGGTACAGGATAGTTCTAGAAACGTGGCGTCACAGTAGTCATGTGACTCGCTGACGCAACATTATAATACGTAACACCATCTAAAATTTTAAGTTAATGCATTAAGTTATTGGTTATATTTAGTATAAGAAAGCATTTAATAGCAACACAATTTGACATTTTTTTCTCATTGTTTCTCATTAGAAAGAATTGTATGCGTGCACGAGTATTAACAAAATCGAACACTAACCCAGTAGACTAAGCTTTGGTGACGTATCATCGATCAGTTGTTCATACATGTAAAACAACGCAATCTTCAAAATTCGTTAGCAATCAACATTCTTCAGATTGCTTGTGATTTATTTAATATAAGAACTCAGTAGCGCATCCAGAAATATCTGAGGAGAGGGAGGTCCAAATCAAATGTTCAAATCATCCTGACTTCGGAGGATACAAATACTGATAGAGTGTGACGAAGTAGAGATTTCAAAAGGCGTATTAAAATATTTGTATCAATAAATTGGAAAACATACATAACCTTGAGGTTTTCAAAGACAGATTAACTGTAAAATTACATTTTCATCTAATTAAAACTTGAGGCCAATACTTAAGAATATACTTTGTATATATATATATATGTGTGTGTGTTATCAAATAGAGGGAAAAAAGATGGAAGGAGTTCCGGGCATTCAGGAGAATTGTCCTGGATATACTACAAAAACTTATTGTGTATCATTAAAACAGAATACTAATAAGGTGTAATACTCTCAGATTTTATTTGCAATACAAAATTACTGCTCATTCTATAATGTTCCCTAAAGAGAAACTGATTTGGAGAACAGGTTGACGTTGTGGTAGAATTATGGGTTTCGTAGTTAGCGAGCTGTGTTCGATTCCAGGCGATACCACAAAATATTCCTCGCACTTTAAGATGTCAATGCGTTACCAAAATGACAGTCAATTCCTTGACATAGATGATGAGTGGTATGGTGCTGCTGATTGGCTGCCTTCTCTTTGAACAGCAGTTTAAAAATTAGGATGGCGGCAGATGGCCTCAGTTGATTTCACAAAGATATAATAAACAAACACTATCGTGTTTACACGCCGTCTCATTGGCTTCTGCTTCATGTGAAATTCATCTGCTTCATCAGGAAACGTCCTATCATTGGTAACAGTCACATCAGTGGTAGTAACTTCGTCAAGAGCTTCACTGTTTCCCTTCTCAAAACCGAGTAGAGTTTCTTCTTCAACAGTGGC